CACAATGCCTTAGGGGAAATGGAGTGGCTGGGAAAGTGGATAGTATGATAGCAATAGAGGATAACAGAAGCCATATCTTCAAGTATGCCCGAGGGCACTTCACCTAAGGGGTGCTGGACCTTCTGTCCACAGACACTTTCAATTACAGATATTGCTGTAGTAAGCGAATGAGTCAACTAAGTCTTGTTGACGGAGTCACCTCTGAATCTAATTAGCAAAGGTTTGTAAGACACTGCAGCAGCATCTTCCTGTGTGCGGGTGCCTTAGTTCTCTCTGCCTGACACAGTTCCAGCTTAGCAGTTCTTCAAAAAGGCGAGGCAGGATAAAACTCTATGAAACTGAAACGGCTCTATGCATTATTTCTCTTCATCTCGCGTTCCCTCTCCCTCATTTTCTGTGTTGCATTAGAGGGATAAGGTGGCACGGGAGAAAAGGTCAGGGGTGACAAACAGTAAAAAGCACAGTAGTCTTATTCAGCTGCAACATTCGGGGGGGGGGAGCAGCTTTTACAGTACATGAAGCTGCAGAAAGCTTCCATCACAAAAGCCTCTTCTCTATGTCTGCACTGCAGTACTTAGCCTATCACTTCATAATCTGCGGTCTTGCAATGCTCTTCTATTTCTGGTCTATGTGATGAGAGAGTTCCTACTTTCGGCTTATCTGGGAGATAAGGGAAATGGGAGTCAAAATTAAGCAGAAAGGAAAGGATGTATCCTTTTTTTCCCCTTTTCCAATGCCTCATGACTCTTGGGTGAAGATATTCCGAGAACTAGTCACGGCCTGAAAGTTATTATAGAAAATACAGATACTTAAAATATGAAGAGTGCAACAAAAACTGAATAAAAAATGCCCACTGTGTGGGATTTAACTGCAAGCAAAATTACCCTTTATCAACTCTTATTTTATGCGAAAAACAAATGCGATTCAAAATGTAGCAGTGAATGATGCCTTTGTGACCTTTAATCAGTCATATGTAAAAATGAAACCTTGGTGAAGCAGCAGAGTGAATGGCTGTAGTCTTACCAGTACAGAAGACCTTTGCTACTAGAGGAACTTTTCAGGACTAAATTATAGTTTCCACCAAAAAGTCCCTGCAGCAACGGAAATAACGGAGAGCTTTGTGTCATCAGCTATTTTGCCCATCAACACTTGAAGTTGTTGTATGTTCTCTGGTCAACACATTACTACTTGAACAAAGTAGATGACTAGCAGGAATTTGGCAACCAGAGACCATAGAGCATCACTTGTATTCAGCAACTTCAACCAAAAAGCCAGTGGAGGATTCCCGAGCTAAACTTTTGTTCAATTTTGAGAGCAAAGAATACCAGTGATTGATATATGATGGGGTGGTAAATACATTATATAGGGGGTATCTACATAGCAACCAACCGTCAGGGACAATTGCATGACAAATAGCTTCCTGTGTAGACCGCCCTTAAGGCTGGATCCATCCAATCTGGGTTGTCACCATTTTTTTTCTCCACCCATTGCTCCTTGAAGTTACTGAATGTCACTGATTATCTACAGTCTTAGCTTCGCTGCTAGTCTCTTCCCGTGTGGAAACCTGTTAAGTAAATGCAATGTGAATGATGAAAAATTTTCAAATTCAGTTATTCGAGTGCTCTCTCTTAGTTGACCAAAACTTCTTTTGTTTAGGTCTTTTGTTCCTTCACACATGTCATAACTACCATTATCAATAAATCTATGTACCGTACTGGTGATAAAGCAAAATGAATGTTTGCCATCAAACAAAAAACATCCTGTGTCCAAAAAAAAGGAACTGCATCCTGTTTATTCATTTTCCTTATCATTGAGATAGGGGTCAGCTATATTAACGATTTATGCAAAAGGACATTTTGCTTCCTGACGTTACCTATACCCCACACGACCTCCCTGTTCATTCAGCAGCTCAACATTAGTCAGAGAACTGTCTAATGTGAAAGTGAGTTCTACTGAAATTTTGCACCACTTTAATGTACATTTATCCCTTTCAAATGGATCATTCCCAGTGAGCGACTTTATATTCAATTGCTGTAATCTGACACCAGCTCAGGTGATTCCTCTCAGAAACCAGGTGAATGTAGAGTTGTGGTTGAGGCACTGGTGCACAGCACAATCTAACAGTATGCATTCAAGAAGATTATTCAGCTTCTCTATAAGATCTGTGGTTGTAAACAACATGTTCACCAGAGCGTTCAACCATTCACAAGAACTTCCTCTTCACCTTAGAAATTATTTTGTGCACTCCTTTGATGAGAAAACAAAATATTACAGGCCTACTGTGTTTTTACACAACTGTTCTCAGCTAACAAAGGTCTTCCTGTCAATCTTTTCTTAAGGATAAAGTCAAAACATGAACGTCCTTGTCTATCACATGTGACTATCTGCTTATGTAACCAACACAACTCTCCCACAGAGTAAACACAAAGCCTGTGGCACTCAAAGAGAAAGCCTGCTCAGGTTTCTGTTGACACATACAGCAAAATCAGGCTTCCCACAGCATTAGCTCACTTTTCCACCATCAAAGCACCACCATAAAGTCTAGGCACACTGAGATTTGATGATGTGGAACCAAGACACGGTACAAATGTGAGCAGTGAAAGAATGAAAAACTAAATAATGTAAGCCATGTGCACAAAGTTGTATCTGTGTGAAAACTGAAGCAACATGCATCATGGGAGAAGAATGAGGAAGTGTTTGGTATGTGAAGAGAAAACACAAAACACAAAAAAACAAAAACACAAAAAACCCCACAACAAAATAAACAAAATGTATTCTTCCAGCTTGGTTTCTGTTATTTTATGTTGTCAATAGAGTACAATTAATCTTGTCAAAAAGTGGACAAAGAGAAAATATGGGCTAATAAACCAGCAGAGAATTCAAGCCTAAATGTGACATTAATTCATGTCTGCAGAACAAAGACTGGTTTCAGGAGAGATAAAAGTAAATCAGGAGTAAATGAGTTATTCCATGCCACGGTTTAATTAACGGTGAACATCACTTATCAGGGTACTGGCACAGCACAGGCAAACACACAATGTACCCACCACAGCATGCTGCTAAAGAGTCCCTGCAGCCCATTGTGCTCAGGAAACAGTGACCTCCTATTTACCATCCCAGCAAGCAATTACGACACTCCATTCTCACTACCCCCCAAGCCCCTAGCCTGCACGAGCAGGGTCATGGGCTATTGGTGTAATTTATAAAACAATACCTCACATCAGACACATCTACATAAAGACCAGTTTGTGTTTATCAGCGAGCAGCAGGAGCTGTATCCCATTTACAGCAAAAGCACATAGAATGATATCCTCAGGTGACAGAGATGGAGCAAACGGGGTAATTATTAAGGGCCAATAAAGAAACAGCTCTGTTATGTAAGGGTGACAGTTTATATCAGTATCCACTAGAAACGAGCTTGGCAATAACAAACAAGTATGTGCCAGTAGCAGACTGAGGTCATGCGCCAGACAGGAGTCGTCCGAACACGACTCTCTCCACTGCTAAGATGATTAATTCAATGAAAGAACACAGGTAGCACAGGTTTGAGGAGAGATGGGCCACAGTAGTAGATCCTACACACAGCAACATTAAACACAGTGTGTCATCAGCTGTTCACGTTAAGACAAAATGAAAATATGACCATGTAACATAGTTATCTGAATTATTCAAATCAGAATTAAAGACATAAACTAAAGGAAAAAATATAGAAATAACAGGTCTTATTATTATTAATATTATTTTATATCATCCCTTTTCCCTGAGGTGTTTTGTTTTGCCATATGGTAGTTACTTTACAGTTATCTTACTTTACTTAAACAATTTTGCATCAACTTACCACCTCAAGTTTTCTTCCCCCAAAATTGGGAATGAATAAAGTAGAATTTATTTTAATGAAACAAGGTAAATTTTAAAGAAAATTGTGGTAGACAGTGCTAAAACAGTCTGTTCATAAAATAACACAAAGAAAACTAAACTATTTTGATAAAAGATTAAATCACTTCCTATGCTACCTGGAAATCAATTAAATCCTTTGCTGAAAGCATGGCAACTGTTGTTACTAACACCTAACTGTAATGTTATTAGTTTACTTCATGTATGTCACAAAATTACTATTTATTTTTATACCTTACTGAGAAAATATGTCAGTGACCTCTAACTCTGTTCATATCCTTGATTTGGTATTACAGGGATAGAGTGGGCGAGGTTTGAGAAGTACGGTTAATTGTTTTCTTATTTTGGTTTATAAAGTCTGTATTGTATTTTTCTATGGAGAAAATATTGAAAAAAGTCTATAATAATTTCAGCTTGCAAGAATCAAAACAAATATCCACAGACTGATTAGGAAACTGTTTCTTAGTTGCAGCTCTATTTTCCATGAAACATTTGGGTAATTATAAAATTTGCCAGGGTTAAATGTTTACTAGTTTGGGGGGGGGGTCGTTACTCATTAATCACCATTTCTACTTGTTAGGAAGGTTGTTTCTCTACACTGCACACATGCAGGCAGACTGCTGTGTGCTGCCCTATCCACACATCTAAGATAGTGCTGAGAAAGAGAGAGAGCCTTGCACTGCAGCAAAAGCAATGAACCTCTGATTATGTTGAAGATGATGGGGATGACATGGCAGGAGTCCAGAGCTGAGGATGGGTCCAGTGCCAGCCAAGAACTGACAGGTGAATCCTGCCTATATACCGACAATACTTGAGATTTGACTGGTTTATAGGTGACTAAGTCTTGTATGAGTGTAAAATCACATGAGGGAAACACACACTAACGCAAACACAAGCATCTATGGTAGCCAATAAACTTCACAACAGACGGCTGTGTCGACATAGTAATGACACAAAGTAGCAACCGCATCAACTTACCACCTCAATTTAAATGCCCAGGTAATTCACAATGATAGCGCCGCAGCGTGATACAATATCGAAAACAGGGGGATTGCGCAATGGGACAAGGTTAAAACTTATAGCCATGAAAATAAAATAAAACTCACCGGCATCATTTTAGCTTCGTACCGCATTTAGCTAACGCACACAGCATGAATCCCCGCTGGCAGTTTCGACGAAGGCTGTTGGGACTGGCGATCGCTGTAATCCCAGAGCCTAAAGCCGCGACAGGCAAGGCTACTTTCTCCTTCTTAGGGAGGGGGGGATCCAGTCCTGCGTTAAAAAAAAGACAACACAACAAAACATGGTTACGCTCTAAAATTCGACAAAAAATAAAAAGAATACAAAAACAAAAGGCACCAAAGTTAACTGCATCTCGTGTCTTAGACCTGTTGCACCAGATAACGAGGCCTTCACGGCAAAAGTTTCCGTTGTGGTTGCGCGAGCATCGCTTTAAAACTTTGTAATGCTCGCAAAAGCGAGCGCGAGGATCGACGTAAATAAAAAAGAAAAACAAGGTTTGTGAGTGGGGATACACACATGCGTTTAAATGGAAATACTTAATAATATTCTTTTAAGGTTTTACTCACCAAGAAAATACGTAGGTAATCGTCTCGAAACCCCGTTGAATGACAGCGTAGCTCAGTCGCCCTCAGGCAGCCTATCCCAGAGTGACGTAGCGAGAGGAAACTCATTCCACTTTGGAATTCAGGCTCCGCCCCTGCCGGAGTATAAAACACCCCCACCAACTAGACTTGTATACTTTGTGCCTTGACTTCTGTCTTAATATCAGAATCGCACGCTTAATATTGAAACCATGTGCAAAAAAACAAAAACAACAACAAAAAAAAAAACCATTCAGTGTGTCCAGCAGTTTCTCAGCAGCAGATTAAACTTAAAAGAGCAGAGGTAGGAATGATTCCTCGCCAGGACAGACTTAAGATGTATCACTCCGTCAGTAATCACAAACTGAAAGGTGAAGGTGAAAGAGCTGCGAAACTTTTTGGTTCAGTAAAAGCATCAATTATTAAAGATGGCAACTTAACGAATGAAAAAAGAATGATTATTAAAGTTAATATGACCAGTTAGCTGAATTATAGCATATAAACAAGCAACACCTAATGTAACTTGCTTCAGATAAGAGCTGTAATCAGGATTTATACTGAAATAAAAATTTCTACCTGGCTTCATCTAAACCCCATGTGGCTGTATATCTGTATATCATGAATCAGAAGAGTTCTTTCTTCTCTTGTCGTCTTCAAACATTATAGTCTACAGAGACTCCTGCCTGACCTCATCTGTCATCCTGTTCATTACCACTGGGACTTCGTACATTTCTGATGTAATCCCATCCCCATCCCCTAGCTTCGTGTTATAGCTCATCAACCTTATCCGTCTACGGCTACAGCTCTGCACATCACCCTTTAACTTGAAACTCAGTATTAGTAAACTTTTTTCCCACTCCTCGGACACTTTCCAGGATTGTGTTTTCTGGTTAAAAAGCCCACTCCCCTCTTTCCTATATATCACCATACTTCCAAACACGTGTAAAATTTTCCTGTACTTTTATGTAGAATTATAGTTAAAGATTATTTTTTGTAATTAATTAATTACTGTTTATTACGGAATCTATTTGTTGTATTCCTGCTCTTTTGATTTTGCTGCTGTCATCATGTGAATTTCCCAACTGTGGGACTAATAGAAGATCTTTTATGTTATCTTAGACATCCTGGTCTCATTAAACATATATGTAATGACTTCTAATGCGTGATGAAGACGTTTCCTGTACTTTGATTTATTTTATTTTTTTTAGTTTTGTAAGTAAACCATACTGTTTGCTTCATTTTTACATTTTTTAATTCAAGTAGCTAATGAATATAACAGTTTCAGAGGTGATGGGTTAGATTTGTATAGACGATCTTTAAAAAAAAAATCTTAGACTACAACTCCCAGAATTCCCACTCAACGGCGAGCAAAGTGTTCAAACGCGCGAGTAGCGGCAGCAGAAGCAACGGCAGCACATTCTGTACACGTTGGTACCTCCCTGAGTGTATCGCTCGTCTCACTGTACTGGAGGTGCTTTGCATAAGGGAGTTGCTTTCGCCTCAACAGTGTGCTAGACGCTACCTGAAGTCATGGCTGACCAGGTGGCCGCCATGTGTGATCAGCTTGTGAAAGCTGTGAATGTGATTATGGACGCAGAAACAAGTCAAATTTACCGACTGGAGGCCCTAAAGGTAGCATCGTTAACGCTTGCTAGCTAGCCGCTAAGTTTGCTGAGCTTGTCATTCATTTGTGAAAGGAGAATAATGTACTGGCTTAGCCAGATAAATTGGGCTATTATACGTAGTTTCCTAGTAACAGCGCTGTTTATACGGTTCATGTATGTTGGTTTAACCTGCAATGATGATAGCCATATGCTTTACGAGCTAGCCGGCATGCCACAATTATCACCTCAACACCAGAGCCACTGTGGACTCATATTCATGCCATTAACCACATGGTGAAAAGACAGAGCTCGATTTAATGAGGCTAGTTAACCAATTCCGAGTAATTCTGCCCCTAAGAATAACTCTAACCCTAGCTGCTAGATTAGCATTCTGCTATCCAAGTATTTATATGAATGTTTGTAAATTAGCTGTTGCTATCTGACGTATTACACGTGTATAGTAGTGGTGAGTTCACACAAGTATTCCTTTAAAGTCTTATAACATTTCCTGATCTTTAAAATTACGCGGTTTCTTTTTTCTTCTCTTCAGTTTTGTGAAGAATTTAAAGAGACGAGCTCCTTGTGTGTCCCATGTGGCTTACAATTAGCTGACAAAGCCCAGCCAGCAGTAGTGAGACACTTTGGTTTGCAAATCCTGGAGCATATCATCAAGTAAGTTGAAGGTGACTGAAGTAAATGTAATAAAGAAAACGCATGATAAGGGATCCATGTTTGACAGAAAGCTAATGTCTCCCTGCAGATTCAGATGGAACGACATGCAGCAACAGGAGAAAGTCCACCTGAAGGAGTGCGCCATGCAGCTGTTATCAAATGTAAGTGTGATTTGTGAAAGACACTTCACTTCACAGTTCACAGTTGTACTGCTCTGATGCCTTCTATTGTCCCTTTTCAGGGTACTCATTCGATCTTGGATGAGGAGAGCCACATCAAAGATGCCCTGTCACGAATAGTTGTGGAAATGATAAAAAGAGAATGGCCTCAGCATTGGCCAGATATGCTGAAAGAGATGGAGACTCTCACTAGCCAAGGGGTGAGTACCCTGTGCGGTACAGGAAGCTCAATTTTTCCTCATCTCACTTGTTTCCTCAGCCAGCATGGATTCAATATGAGAATGGAATAACTTGCATGCAAATAAGGGCCAGTTGTGGATTATTCATTAATTTTCCCATTGCCTCATCATGTAAACTTGGGCACTGGGATAACGTCACCTTCCAAATATGAACCTAATAACCCTCTTTCCACTTCCTTGTTTTATCACTAAACTGTAGACCTACTTTTATCATTAATACCCACTCTGAACTCTGAAGGGATGAACAAAGTACTTGTGCAGTATTATAATAATATCTAAGTGTGATAGTAGTAGTGTGTGTGTGTGTGTGT